TTTATTTTGATTATTTAGGAAGACTTACTTGAGAGAACCCGTGCAATTAAGTTCACTGAAAATTCAGATCCTATATTTTTAAACATCTGAGCCAGTAAGACAGGCTCTTCTCCAGTGTTGCCTTGAAACGGAATGTATGGAAGTTTTTATATAAGATGAAGAAAGTTACTAAGTAACTAGAGCTAGCTTTGATCTTGATAAAAACCCAGTTCAATATCTAACGGAGATTTTTGTAGCTTCTTATTCTTATCTTTATATGAGCTATGGATTTTTCCCTTCAGTATCACTTTGTTTTTTGAAAATATAGTATAAATTGATGCATCTCAAGATGGAAACTAAAGTAATTAAAAAAAGCCAATGTCGTTTCCCCCTCCCTCCCCCTATTGCAGCTTTATCAACTAAGACTTGAAAATAATTACAATTTGTCTTAAGTGGGATTAAGATCCTCTAAGATAATAATAGAAGGAGTAAAGGTTATGTATATTAGACAAGTCCAGAATTAAAAAGATTTGCTTTGAACACAGTACATGATTCATATGACAGATACCAATAGTGGTTCATTTAAAAAAAAACAAAAAAAACCCAACCAAACAAACAACCCCCCCACAACATTGCCCTTTAAACTTAATTCTGACTCAGTATTTATTTATCTTGTTAAGGCTGCTGCCAAAATTGTGAGTATCCAACATTTCTACACTGGATGCTGTATCTCAAATATACATTCAAATGTGATCACAGTCAGAAAATGAACTACATAAAAATAGCAAGTTACATACATTTGGTCATGTCTACTTGCTTCTCCAACTAAAATAAGCTTTCAAAATATTTTACTCCAGCTAGTAGTTTAGAGGCAATGCATCTACTGTAAAGTGAGTGTGACTTCTGCTTGGACATCATCTACAGTATTGTTTTGCTGGCTTCCAAATACTGTTGATGGTGGAGGAGCTAGATTACATAGTTGGGTTTTAAAAACAAGAGGAAGAGGGGAGCTTTGAAGGCCAAAAATGAATATTATGATGGTCTTAGACTGACTAATTGCATTTCAGAGGCCACAACATTTTATACTACAATTCCTGCATTAAGCTTATTATAATGTATTGTTTGTCTAGAGCATACTTAAATCTTCCTTTTTTTCTACTTGTAAAATGAGAATTGATCAGAAAATCATGTAGAAATTATTAGCATGCAACATCATTTTACAGTTTGTTTTCAAAGAACAACTGCACTTTTAACTTCAAACTAATTACATTTCATTGTAATATTATAGTCTCTATGTAAACTATTTGGGGCTAGGTCAAATAGTATGTGTATGGACAACACATCAAGTGCATCCAGCGCAACAGAAGCTAACTAAGCTGCAGTTGATAGGATGTTGTTAGTTATTTCTGTATTGTTTATATTGGTGGCTAGATTTCCATGCAGGGGGAAAAAAGGGGGGATTCCTTTCCCTACTGCAGTCAATGAGGATATGAATGGACATTGTATTTGTTAAAAGAGTGAGTGGGTTTTTTTGTGTTGTTTTTGTTTTTCCCCAGGGCCACGTATGATTGTATAGATATCCTTTTTCAGTGTCCCTGGGCAAATCACACAAAAACATGCAGGGTAAGACGTAGGATCATAAGATGATTGGTGAGCAGGGCTGGAAGGGACCTCTAGTCCTATTTAATCTACCCCCTTGCTCAGGGCAGAATCATCCCTGACTAAACTGTGACAGCCAAATGTCTGTCCAGCTTGCTCTTGAAAATGTCCATGGATTGAGATTTCGCAACTTCTCCAGGTAACCTATTCCAGTGTATAACCACCTTCACAATCAGAAAATTCTTCCCACCGGTGGATCCAGGAGTAGGGGGAGAGGGGACAGTGTGCAGTTTGATTCCTGCTCCATCCAAAGGTTAAAACAAACTGCCAGGCAGCGGCAGCAGCATTTGATTGACTACAGGACTAAAGAAATGACTTATCTTGATTTATTTTTGCCTAGTTTATTGTGGCTTTTTTTTTTTTTAATACGTATCTGATGCTGCAAATTAATGTACATTTCAATCAATTTATTTGCTTTTGCTTCAATTTTAAACTGAATAATATAGCCTTAGGTCCTCAATTTATTAGTAGCACTTCTAGTTTATTTTTACCTGGATAAAAATGATGCACCATAATATCTGCAATCCCTCTCCTCCCTTTCAAAATCCTGTATCTGTGTATGGTTCTTCCTAATCTTCAACCTACATTTCCTCTGCTGGTTTGAAGCCATTGCTCCTAGTCCTGTTTCCTAAAACCAAGTCTATCCCCTTCTCTCTTATAATCATTCTTCACATATTTGAAGACAGTTACCGAAATTCTCCTTGGTCATCAGTTCTTCAGACTAAACACTCCTAGCTTTTTCAGCAGTTCCTCATATTTCTCAGGCTTCCAATATTTTTGTTATTCTCTGCTAGACTTTCCAATCTGTACACATCATTCTTGAAATGTGGGGACCAAAGCTAGCGCTGCTGAGGCCTGACCAGTGTCAAATAGAGCAGAAAAATAATTTCCCTGAACTTGTAAGAGACGCTCCTGTACAACCCAATGTGGTGTTAGCTTTTTCTGGAACAAGAGCATACCTCTTGACCTTAAATTCAGCTGGCCTACTCTATGATCTACTGAAACTCAAAGGTTCTTCTCTGCCAATCACTCCCCCATCCAATCTGTATTTGTGCATGCAGTTATTTTGCCCCAAGTGTAGGACCTTGCACTTATCCTGATTTAGGTTTAATTTAATTGTTTTTTGGGACCATATCACAGTTTATCCAGGTCATTCTGGATCTTAGCCCTACTCTTCAAAGTGTTTGCAACTTCACCCAACTTGGTGTCATATGCAAATTTGTTAAGTGTGCACTCAATCTCCTCATCTAGATTGTTAATGAAGATGCTAGACAATGTTGCACCCAGGACAGACCTCTGGGGAATCCCTCCTGATACCTTCTCCCAGCTAGATGTTGAGCCATTGACTCATTAAGCATGATGATCCAGTCAGTGTATCCACGTTGCAGTTCTTTCAATAAGTTCAGGACTGTCCAACTAGTGGCCTATGGGGCACATGTGGCCTGTAATGGGTTAAATTGGTGCCCCCAAGCTTGTTCCCCACATTGCTCTGGATGCATTAATAGCTGGAGTCTCTGGGCTGTCATGTCTTGTCCCTACCCCATGGGGACAGGGCAGTGCAGCAGCACACAGAAGTGAGGGTGAGACTGAGGTGAGTGGCATAGCATGGATAGGGAAATGGGCATGCAGTGGAGTGGGTAGCATCCTCCTTGGGGTGGGATGTGGTTTGCCCTGGTACAGTGCATGAGGTGTATGGCCCCTGGCTGCCTGGAAATTTGACAGCCCTCTTCTAGTCTGTATTTCTTCAGTAATGAGAATGTCTTGGTGTCAAAAGCCTTGCTAAATTGAGGTACGTCACACCTACTGCTCTTCCCCACCCATCCACATTGCTTTTCACCTTGTCAGAGAATAAACTTAAATTGGTCAGGCATGACCTGCTCTTGTTGAATCTATACCAGGTGTTCTTGATTATCTTGTTTTTCTTTTTTTTTCCTATACAGACATATGTCTGCAGTTGTCTCCGAACAGCGTCCTGTGAGAAGCTGCTTAGTTAGTCCCAAAATGCACTATTTCTGCCCCCGTATCCACCCCTCTTGAGCTTAGGGTGGCCATCCTCACCCTAGTGCCAGAAGGCTGCTACCTGGAGGTGACCAGGTACAGGTGGCCTTGCCCATCTATGTGTGGCCCATGGTCATTCCCTGCTTGCCAGCTCTGTGCTCGAGGTTAGGAGCAGAGCCGGGTCTATCCGGAAAGCTACAGCGAGCCTCCTCAGCGCGGCATACACCTGTACCGAGGCCCTCCGAACTGAGTTTTTAAAGAAAAGCATAGCAACAACTTTCCTTCTGAAGGCTGTAAATGTTTCCCAACACACGTGTTAACTGTCAGATCCCCTTATGTCCTTTTTCTCTTCCCCTCACTTCTCTTTTTTTTCTTTCCTTCCCCAAGTTTCCATTTCAGCAGTGAGAAAATAGTGTGTGTATGGGGGGGGGGGATAAGGATAATTTTGTTTTGTTTTTGTGAACACTTTCACTAAAAGGTTATTTTTCTATTTCAAATCATTGACCAGCATTTATAGGGGTATAGGCTAGGTGTAAGCTGGGGAGCCCCGGGGCTCACTTGAGAGTGCTGATGACAAGTGGTTAAAGCGAGCCTTGAACCAGGTTGAGGTCTCAAAGGGAGGGATGATGCCTGCCTGCCGGGTGTGGACACAGCTCTGGGGCAAGCAGGAGAAGGCACAAACAGAGGCCAACTTGGGAACTTCACCAGAGTTTTCTTAACACGAAGTCCTGGAGTTGTATCAGGACCCTGCTGATTTGTAGCAGTACCTGACCCCTATTGGCTTTTCTTTTTTAAACCACGGACCACAGGGCTGAAGCTTTATTAGGAGAAACAGAAATAATATTTGAAGAGGAAAAAAGAAGTGTGGGGGGAGGGCTCCACTGTGGCTCTGTTGCATGTGAAGGACACCAGGTTGCGTCTGAGCTTTTGGCTCCTTGGAGACTCCCCGTGCCTGACCAAGGGTGACTGCTCCCCGAAGCTGGCTACGAACTTTCTTTTCCAACGACTCGGTCTAATAAAAAAATGTCACACCAACTCAAAGGACTTTGCCTGCCTGGCTTGGGGGAGCTGGAAGTGGTCAGCTCAGGCGAGGGGGCTGTGGGTGCCGGGGCAGAGCTGGGCCCGGGACGGGTGGGGCAGGGGTGCTGCTGCTGCTGCCCCGGCGGCGGGGGGCCAGCTCGGAGGGGAGGGCTAGGGCGGGGGGCAGGGGGTGCCGTGGCAGGGCCCGGGG